GAGCCTGGAGCCTGCTTCAGATTCTGTGTCTCCCTCTTCCTGCCCTCCCTCACTAGCACTTGTCTGTCTCTCTCTCACTCAAAAATAAATAAACCTTAAAAAAAAAAGAGATCTACCCAAAGAAATGAAGAACAACAGAAATGGTAAAAATGTGAGTGAATATTTGAAAATTTGTTCTTACTTTTAAATTTCTTTGAAAGATAAGTGACTATTTGAACCAAAATAACAGCAATGTATTGTGCAATTTATAATATATACACAAATAAAATCCATGCAATAACAGCATCAAGGCTTGAAGGGGGAAATGGAATAATACTGTTTTAAGTTCTTACACTATACATGAAATAATATATTACTTGAAGAAAGGTTGTGATAAGATGTATATTATAAATTCTGAACTACTACAATACAAAATAAAGAATTATAGCTAATAAGATAACACAGCTAAAATGGAATAATAAAAAATACTAAATCCAAAAGAAAGTAGAAAAAGAGGAAAAGGAAACAAACACATGGAACAGATAGAAAATAAATAGCAAGATGGTAGATTTAAATCCAACCATATCAATGATCACACAAAATGTAAATTGTTCACTCTAGTAAAAAGGCAAAGATTACCCTAGTGGATAAAAAATCAAGACTCAGTTATATGCTGCCTACAAAAATACAATTTAAATATAGGTCAAAAGTAAAAGGATGAAAACCATATGCCATGCTAACACTAATACACTTGATCTTAGCCAAAAGGCTGAGAAGCGATACCATGCTAACACTAATAAAAAAAACCAACAACCCTGGAATGATTACATTAATATCAGACAAGGTAGATTCCTAAACAAAAAACACTACCATGAATAAAAAGTATCACTTTAGAATAATACAGTGGTCAGTTCATTAGAAGATAAATTACTTATGCATGTAATAACAAAACCTCAAACTATATGAAGCAAAACCTGGTAGAGCTGCAAGAAGAAATACATAAATCTATTTTTCAGTCAGAGATTTCATCACTGCTCTATCAATTTAATAGACCAAGTAGATAGAAAATCATTAAGGATATAAAAGACTCAGTTGAAATCTCCATAAGTTTTGTAATAGAAATTAATAAGCTGATTTTAAATTTTACATGGAAATGCAAAGACAGAATAGCAAAAACAACTTTGGGGAAAAAAATTAGAGGACTAATACTACCTAATTTCAAAACTCTGAAGCTACTTATGTGTTTGGTTTTCTGTTTTAAACTATGAAGCTTTTTAAAACAACAACAACCTGAAGCTTATAAAAGCTACAGTAATCAAGATAGTGTGATTGGTGTAGAGAAAATAAAATTGACCAATAGAGAGTCCAGAAATAAGCAACCAATTGATTTTGACAATGGTGCCAAGGCAATTCAATGGGAAAAGGATTATCTTTTGAACAGATTGCTGAAATAATTGGATAGCCATATGCAAAATGATAAGGATAATAAGAATAACAACTTGGGTTCCTACTTCACACGATATAGAAAAAAATGATTTGAAATGGAGCATAGATTAAAATCTAAGAGCTAATGTTGTAACATTTCTAGAAAACAAAGCAGGAAAAATATCTGAGTAAACTTGATTTGGCAAAGATTCAAGCATCATGATGCAAAAATGGCAATATATCCATAAAAAGATGCCCAACATTGGGGCTCCTGGGTGGCTCAGTCGGTTGAGCGTCTGACTTTGGCTCAGGTCATGTCTCACAGTTTGTGGGTTCGAGCGCCACATCAGGCTCTATGCTCACCGCTTGCTCAGAGCCTGGAGCCTGCTTCAAATTCTGTGTCTCCTTCTCTCTCTGCCCCTCCCCTGCTCACACTTTGTCTCACTCTGTTTCTCAAAAAGAAATAAATGTAAAAAAAAAAAAAAAAAAAGATGCCCAACATTATTAGGAAAATGTAAATTAAAACCACTATGCACCCACTATAAAATACCACTACTGGTGATAACGTGGACAACTGGAACTCACATACTGCTGATGGGAATGCAAGGTGGTATAACCATCTTGGAAACAGTTGGCAGTTTCTTTAAAAATTAAACACACCTACCATATGACCTATCCATTCAACTCCTAGGTATTCATCCAAGAAAAATGAAAGCATATGTCCCTACAAACACTTAACAAGGATATTCATAGAAATTTTTGACAGTAAATGGATGAAAAAATTGAAATGAACTGATATATACATCAACATGAATAAATCTTAAAGCAATTATGCTCAGTGAGGAAAATAAGATAAAAATGAGTATGATTCATTCATCTAAAAGTTTGGACAATGCAAACTATAGTGACAGAAAGCAGATCAGTGATGGCCTGGAGATGGGGAAGAGGTATGAGAAAGAAATTACAAAGGGGCCTGAGAAAATTTTAGGGGTGATGCATATGTTCATTATATTGATCATGGTGACAGTTTCACAGGAATATACACATGTAGAATTAATCAAATTGTACATTTTACAGATATCAATTTACTATATGTCAACTGTACCTCAATAAATCTTTTTTTAAAACAGTGATTCTCTGAAAATATAAATTCCTTTATGGTATCCAAATATTTCAGAATGTCCTCTCTAAACATCTTAAATAATATGCACTGTACCCTTCACAATAAAGGATAAACCACATGGCAAAACATGGGCAATAATATCTGGGGAAAACCGAGTTTTACCTGAAGGTTCTTCTTCAGTGACAATGATCTGTCCAGTCCAGGGTGCTGAAGGGCGACCTAAACATAGATAAATGTAAAAATCACAAAATTCTTAAATGCAGTTTCAACTGTATTCACAAACTGGCCATATTAGTCAGAATTGAGTTTGTTACTAGTTTGCTTAGGTATTTTCATAATGAATCTTACTGAGCACATATATGGTGTTACGTCTTCAAGGGACTCACAATCTGCTAGAGCACAGAACCTGCCTAGTTGGAGTCAATATTTCTGGAAATGTACTTTTGCAAGCAAGGTAAATAACCTGTGTTTGTTTACTATTCAATATAGATCTCTGGAAACATGTAGGTTCCCTCATGTCTTCTTAAGAGATAGCATGTATTTGGGGGAAACTTTTCTGGAACAATTGTAAGCCCAGTAGTTATTTATCTGCAATAATGAAGCTCAAAGAGGAGAGGGGGGCTAATTCTGCAGTACAATGAAATGAAAGTGAATGAAATGAATCCTGCAGTACAGTTCAATGAAAGCGATTTCTTTCCATTGTATTTTGACAAGTGTTATTTATGAAGGAAACCAGCTTAGATCTGGAGTAAGAAAAATGGGTGAGATGGGCAGGAAAAGAGTAAAATGCATTTAAATCCATTTCATTCATTCATTCATTCATTCATTCATTCAAGAGGAAATTCACTTCTGTGTTCCCACAAATATCAGAGAGAATGGTTCAACTCCTGCTTTATCACCAGACTTTTCAGCATAGTTTGTACAGAAACAGAACGGTAATACATAAGATAACCTATTTTCAATTCAAACGAATCTTACTCTCATTGGAATTTATTTAAAAAATAGAGTAAATGAAAGAATGAGATGGAATTAGGAAAGAGGGAGGGAAGTCAGATAGTAAGTGAAAAGTAATTAGAGGGCAATCAAGGAGCCTGATTAGAAAAAGTGTCCAGGGGGCGCCTGGGTGGCGCAGTCGGTTAAGCGTCGACTTCAGCCAGGTCACGATCTCGCGGTCCGTGAGTTCGAGCCCCGCGTCGGGCTCTGGGCTGATGGCTCAGAGCCTGGAGCCTGTTTCCGATTCTGTGTCTCCCTCTCTCTCTGCCCCTCCCCCGTTCATGCTCTGTCTCTCTCTGTCCCAAAAATAAATAAAACGTTGAAAAAAAAAATTTTTTTTTAAAAAAAAAAGAAAAAGTCTCCAGACTTTTTCTGGAGCTTAGCTTTTTGTGACACCATACATCTACCTAAGGCAAAAAACAAACAAACAAACAAACAACACTGCAAATAGGACATAGACTAGCAGTCCTCAACTGGGGTGATTTTGCACCTCAGGGACATTTGGTAATGTCTGGGGACAATTTTGATGGTCACAATGGGGAAGGGAGGTCGTTATTGGTATCTAGTGGGTAGATGCCAGGGATGCTTCTCAACATCCTACAATGAACAGGACAGCCCCCTATAACAAAGAATTATCTGGCCTAGACTGTCTATAGGGCCAAGGTTGAAAAATCTGTTATAGACTGAAGTGTTAATATCCAATGATTTATTTTTATTTTTTTAAATGTTTATTTATTTTTGAGAGAGAGAGAGAGAGAGCATGAGCAGGGGAGAGGCAGAGAGAGAGGGAGACACAGGATCCGAAGCAAGCTCCAGGCTCTGAGCTGTCAGCACAGAGCCCAACGTGGGCTCAAACTCATGGACCGCGAGATCATGACCTGAGCCAAGGTCAGATGCTCAACCGACTGAGCCACCCAGGTGCCCCTCGAACAGTTTTTTAAAATATCATTTTGTGGTTTCTATTATTGAGGATGCATATGGGTTCCCATGAAACAAATGCAGAGCATAATTCATATACCATGGTTTTGACATTGAGACTTGGAGTTTATATGAAAAGATTATTTTTGATGGTCTGATATGGAAACTCAAGTATAGATCAGATATGTTGTAAATGTGCTTTTCCTTTGATATAAAGAAACTCACGGTGGAGATATTAATGCTCTAGGGGGCAAATTCTAGGTTAAGAAGCATCCCTTGGGGCGCCTGGGTGGCTCAGTCGGTTGGGCGGCCGACTTCGGCTCAGGTCACGATCTC